CAATTGCTATTGCGGTTGCTTTCCAATTGATCAATTCAACAGCGAGCCTTGGATTATCAAAACTTAACAAGGCAGCGAGGTGGGTATCGGTTGGGGTGTGTTTGTGTGTTTGTGTGTGCGTGTGTGTGTGTGTTGTGTGTGGTGTATGTATGCGCTTAGACAATATTTGTGGATGATTGCATGCTTGTGCAAACGGCTTTCATGTACGTGAACAGCAAATTTATTTGCACGAATGCAATGGATGCTGCTGCAATGTTTTGCACCCAGAGAAAACGCCAACGACCCCAGGAAAGCGCCCAGGCTCCAGATCGAACTGAAGCTGTAGTCGCTTCTACTATTTAGAAAATTTGCCTGCGACTCTGCGTTGCGCTGTCAAAGTTTGCCTCGGCGCCGGCCTGACGTGCACCATAAAAGTCTGTTGCATAAACCAATTTCCCATTTGCTCGCACAAATGCATCTCTGTGGGCGCTGGGGGGCGTGGCAAGCCAACGTTAGGCTGCTTGGGCCTGAACTCAGTTTTGGGTTGCTTTGCTGTCTGGAGGGGAGTGGCGAGTGTGTGGGGGGGGGGAGGCTGATTGCTTGTGGGTGGGGATTATGCAAACGTTTGGCGCTGTCAACGCAAGTTGTTCGCATTGGAAATTCGATTCGAACGCAACTGGCCTCAACCCACCCCCTCAACTCCACCTTCCCCCAATCGTCAACCGACCCCCCTTCAGGCAAATCGTCGCTGATAACGTAAACCGCTTTGATTTTTATTTAACTGCACATTTCGCTTAGGGCGTCGCAGCTTCAATGGCAACCTTCACCTCTTCCCGCTCAGCACCGCCTACGAGTTCTACTGTCATATCCCCCAACCGCCACCCCCCGCCCACTAGCACCTCCCAATGCAATCTACCAATTTCTGAGCCCCATTTCGCATTCAGCTCTATTGACGTTTAATGGCAACTTGTGGTGAATTTTTGCTGTCGTTGCTCGATTTGCTGCGGTTTTCTGAACCGAATTTTCATGAATTTTCACGAATTTTACCAGTTGGCAATTTCACAATGTTGTTTTATTTTTTTTTTTTCTATTTTTTAGTTCTGCTTTGCACATTTTCCATTTTCCACGTATTTCTTTTATTTATGTATTTATTTATTCGCTGGCTGCTCAGTTGCCGTTGAAATTGATAATTTAGAAAATTGCTAGCAAATATCAGAGCAAATGTCGCGACACCCGCTTCCCCCCACTTCACCCAAACACGCAAACACCCAAACACCCGCCCAGCCACAAAACCAACCCGAGCCCCCAACTTCAATGTCGCAATCATCGATGCGGGCGTAAAATTTGCTGCATTTGCCAATCAATTTGCAATGGATTTTGAGCGCGGGTCTATCCAGGCGCACGAGACCCCTATTGGATGCCCAAATCATTAACCAGATGCTTTGCATATTAACATTTTGCCATTAAGGGTACTCTGGCAATATGTTTTCCTCAATGCAAAGCTTAAATTGATAATATAATTAATATATTACTAAGCATTAGCAATAAATACGATTATTATATATTTATAGTAATTGGTATATACTTATTAGCATACATTCTATAATATCTATATATACAACTTTTCAAATTGACTGACTGACGGACTAACTGATTGACTGACTGACTGAATTAGCTACTGACTGATTGACTAACTGACTGACTGATTGACTCAGTGACTAACTGATTGACTGACTAACTGACTAACTGACTAACTGACTAACTGACTAACTGACTAACTGACTTACTGACTGACTAACTGACTGATTAATTGACTGACTGACTGACTGACTGACTGACTGACTGACTGACTGACTGACTGACTGACTGACTGACTGACTGACTGACTGACTGACTGACTAACTGACTAACTGACTGACTGACTGACTAACGAACGACTGACTGACTGAGAGATTAATGATCAACACTCAGTGCAAACCGTAAGAGCTAGAAATGTGGTGGAGAAAGTGTGGGAAAATCACGAAAAACATTAAAATGCAACTTTTTTGCTTACTATCCGATCCGCCTCAAACTCATATTCTAAGATCTTTATTCGAATTCACTAGAGGGATACCTCACACATTTCGAAAAATCCATTTCTTCTTTATGTAAATCGGAGCCAGGCTTTGGCTCAAGAGTATACATATAATTTATCCAAGCATAATAGGCAGATGCCAATTTCTTATAAAGGTCAAATTCAATCTGCAACTTTTATATAAAAATGATATTCTTATTACTATTATTTGAATTTAACTATTAAAGAAGTAACGAAAATCAAGGAGTGAACAAAAACTGTAGGCAACGCTTTGGAGAGCTAGTTTCACGAACTGCGCCCAAAGAAAGGAACAGTATAAAGCACATTAATTCTGCACATAAAGTTACTTAAGAAACTCCAATAAATCTTTAAAAAAAACATACCTTTAACCGAACTTTTTAAGGTCTAGAAATCCCCTACGGCAGCTCTGTAGCCTGGCAATCGCACTCAATCAGGGCCGACTTTAGCTTCTGAAAGTATCTTACACAGGTGACTGCTGCATTTAGTTAACGCTGTCAGCACTGCAATATGTAAAAGCGCTTTCCAACACTTTTTTCCCCTCCTACTGTGCTGCTCTGCTGATGCATTGCGCCCACTGCTTTTGAGCGAGTAGCCCATTAAAAGTGTACGTATCTATTTGGCTCTTTCCTGTCTATGTTATAAATTGTACAGGGTATGATGATTCTCTCACTGGGTTTGTAACAAATTGAGGTACTATTAATATATATGTAAATGGGGAAATATATAGATGCGAGCGTGTGTCTAATTTAATGTTTTAACGTTTAACAACACTCGTCAAATATTTATCTCTATATATATATATATATATATATATATATATATAGGGTAAATGAGAGGGTATTCGAGAGGTATTCGGAGTTTGAGAAGCTCTAAAAATAGAACATTACCTTCTTGTTTTTATTGAAATTTATGATTTCTGACACAAAATTTATGTTGTTTTGCATTATGTGTCTAAATTTGTGTTTGTGTGTGGGTGGGTGGGTGTTTGGGTGTGTGTCTGGGTGTGTGTGTGTGTGTGTGTGTGTGGTTAAAAGCATAAAATAAACCTCGAATGCTCGTAAAATGGCATACGTACAAACCCCAAACGACCCCACACGGAACCCGGACTCCGTAAATACCAGCGCCGTTTTTTTTTTGTACAGTTCTTGAGCCCTTCCGGTAGTCTAGCCACACGTATACACGCGCCTTTTCCAGGCCCCCTCTCTCCCTCTCTCCCCATCGTCCCTCCCCCCTCCACCGCCTGCTATCACTTTCGGTATGTGGCTTGTGCGGTTTTCATTTGGCCCAGCGATGGCGCCCAGAACAACGCGCGTGAATTATTTAATTCGAATAAATATTGAAAACTCAATTTTTTATGATGTTTTCTTGTTGGTTTATTGCGCTTTTGTGGCATTTTAATATCGTATATCCTTGCCTCGGCAAGTGTCGCCCGTTGTCTGCCTGCGTGTGTGCCTTGAACCTACAAGCAGCCCGAGTGTTTGTGTGTGCGTGTAAATAAACAGCCGTAAAACTCAAATTTTTATACTCATCCACATAATAGTTAAGATACACATGAAAGTTTATTGATGCTACGCACACAATTTATCGTTTATCGCCACACTCCATATTTGTAAATCGATCGTCTTTTACACACTTTATCGCTCTGCAAAACAATCGAGATATAAATTTGAAGCAATGCCGGGCAATTTCGAGCTAATTACGCGAGAGATGCAAGCGATTATATAAGCTGGCGCCCAATGTGGGGCGCGCCATGCAAATATAAAAGCTTCGGAACGTAACCAAAGCATAAAGAGCTTAAGCAACATTCAGCTAATTAAACTAATATATACCACAAATATAGACCGCAACTTCCATATGAAAATATTTAAGGCTTGAAATATTTTCAGTAGGGCGGGCAGGAATACAAAAACATGAATTGGGATTTGAAAGATGTATGAAAAGCAAAGACTTGAAACAAAACCTGGCTTCATTAATGTGGAGTCCTAAGACAAGATGAATCGAACCACTGACAGAATTCGGTTTTGGTTTGCAGCCTTACCTTTAAGTTGTGTTGGGCTTAAAGCCATACTGCAGACCTATGCATTTAAAATTGTTTAGTAATCCCTTGCAGGGCAGTACAAATGGGCAAGCCTTCGTCTTTACGTCTCCCAAATAAGTAGATGTGTATATACATAGTTTAGGCCATAACTGTACGAATTATCCGCACAACTGGACTGAAAACAGAAACAAGCAAGTCTGTCCGACCGACTGTCCGTCTGTTTGTTTGTTTGTGTGTGTGTGTGTGTGCTTGGCCATAAGTTGACTGTACACACATTTACCATGCGAAATAATCCCCAATAGAAGAAAATTGTGTAAAATTTTGTGCTGGTTCCACTGATTAAGAATGGCTTACTGGCTGCTTGTCGGAACGATGCCAGTGAGCCAGGCAGCCAGTCAGTTAGGCAGTCAGGCAGTCAGTCAGGCACCCTTGGGGAAATCCTTTGAAGAGCAAAAGATGTATGGACCATTCCAGCATCTAATATGTGCGAAATTTATCAACAACGATACTGTCTGGCATACAAAAGGCGCACAAGGATGAAGGCAACCGACATGGAAAATCGCAATAATAATTTTCCAGTTCGGCCTTCCGTGTATGTTTATGTGTGTGTGTGTGTGTGTGTGTGAGAGATGGGGGTGGGCTGGCTCCTAACTCTTAAGTGGGTAATACTCGTAGTTGTAGTCACATACCGTATGCATGGTATGCCGAAGCCGGGTCCGGGTCCGGGCATGTGCCCAAATATGCCAAGTGGACAATTGCAGTGGCCTGTCGCTGCAGGGGACTTCAGGGACTGTGCTCCAATGGGCTCTGGTGCTCCAATTAGATGTGGTTTTGGGCAACAAGCATTGGTTGGTGGCGAAATCTGGCAGGCAAATTGAAACAGATTCCTCGCTTTGCATATGCTCAACTATGTATAACTTATATTTGTTTGTAGTTCAGTGTAGATTACAGTTTCAGTAACAGTTGGAATAAATTGTACAATGCGTTTACAGATACATCTCAGATCCACTCTCGGCCTTAAACTCGTTGCTCATTAGGTTGTACGGTATTGGGGGACATAGGGTTCCTAGGTACTTTATGCGTTTCAGTATATCAGGTTTATCGTTAAGCCTTCGTTTAGTATCTTAGCATTCGACGGGATGCAGAAAGCCCTGGATATGTTCAGCCAGTCGGTTTCTGCATAGCAAGGCAAATTATGTTAACATTATGTCAATAAATAATACCTCGAATGCTTACCCAAGATGCTGTCCCTTATGGTTGGTCAACTTGGAATACAGTACTAGCAATATCAGCGCTTGGCCAGTTATCAAGAGTCCTTGTTTGGTGTAGTTGTTGCTTATCCAGATGCTGGGCTTTTTGTTTTCCCGATTCTTTTTTACATACAGTTCGGATAAGTCTCGTTCCTGTCGCCGTTGGGCACTCAACCTGCTGTCTTCCAGATTTTCACGACTAATAAGATTATCACTCGCCTCTTGTCGGAAGCTAACGCGTTGTTCCCGGTTAAGATTATCTAGACGTAGATCGGCGTCCCGCTCTTGTCTTGCCGATATATCACGCTCCTCGCGTCGAGGATGGTTGCGCCGGGTTTGCTCGTCATTGGCATTGGGCTGACGATTGACTCGTTCCTGCCTTTGTGTCACATCTTTCACCTTCCGTCGCACATCCTCTCGATTATCTCGCCTTTCTATGCGCTCCGCATCCACACGTTCCCTTCGTAGAAGATTGCCACGTTCCTCACGTCGGAGATGGTCGCGCTCGTCTTGTCGGCGATCATCGCGCTGCTCACGACGAGAGAGATCACCGCGTCGTGCTTCGATGTCATTTGCATTACGCTCCCGATTTTCCTGTTCCTGTCTTTGTGCTAGGTCGTCCTCCATTCGTCGCATGGCTTCACGACTCACATGCCTTTCCATGCGTTTCGCGTCGACACGTTCCTCTCGTTCCACCTGTCGGTTAGCGTCTCCATCCTCTTGTCTGTGATCATCACGTTCTTCACGTCGGTAAAGCTGTTCTTGTCGTGTGTCTAAACGGCTACGAGTATCGACCCTCTTGAGCTCATCTCGTTCCTGTCGTCGTGTCAGCACATTCTCTCTTCGATTTACTTGCAGCCCTCGTTGCTCCACATCCACACGCTCTTGTCTTTGACTTGTATGTCGCAGATTGTCGTGTTCCTCACGTCGGCGATCATCACGCTCCTCATGTGGAGAGAAATCATCTCGCCGCACTTCTGTGTAAGTAGTATGGCGAATCGGATCTCGATCTTCACGATCATGTCTTCGAGATACAGCTCGTTCCTCACGGCGAGATGGCTCTTCCCTTCGAACTTCAACCTGATCAATTTTTTCACCATAACGAGAATCCAACCTGTTTTCTCTTTCCTGCCTTCGTGTTAATTCGGTTTCCTTCCGTCGCATACCGTCTCGATTCATTCGCCTTTCCAGTTGCTCAGTGTTTACAAGATCGCGTTCTTCCCGATCCTGTCTTCGAAACACATCTCGTTCTGCCTGTCGCAAACCTTCTCGTTCATTATGTCGATTTTCATACCCAACATCCACATTGTCGCGTTCTTTGCGCTCCTCTCTTCGAGATACATCTCGTTCCTCACGTCGGAAAACGTCTCGTTCTTCACGTAGGAGGTCATTACGTTCCGCCCGACGAAAATCATCTTGCTTCTCCCGACGGCGATCATCACGTTCTTCACGTCGAAAGAGATTGATGCGCTCTATGTCGTCGACATTACGCTCACGATTTTCCCGATCCTGCCTGTGCGTTACATCATGTTCCGACTGCCGCATATCCTCTCGACTGACTCGCCTTTCCAGACGTTCTGTATTTAAGCGTTCAACTCGTTTTTGCCGTGTAAGATCGTTGGATTGCTCCTGTCTTGCATCCTCACGTTGAGAGATATCAATACGCCGTACTTCCAGGTCAATAGATTTATGCTCACGACGTTCACTTTCTTGGTGAACCGGGTCAGTCTCCACTCGTCGCATCTCCTCCCGACTCACTCCCCTTTCCATACGCTCTGTATCGACACGTTCAACCCTTTCTTCACGGCGACGATCATCGCGGTCCATCTGTTGGTTGGCCTCGCGCTCCTCGCGCAGGGATCGATCGTTTCTTTGTGCAGCTCGAGTATCTAACTGTTGAAGATCTTCTCGCACTAGTCGGAAAGAGCTTTCATTTTGTCGATTTAATTGCCCGTCTTCACGCTCTTGTCTTCGGGAAACATCTCGTTCCTCACGCCGGCTATTAAGCTCCTCACGTCGATTAAATTCATCTTCACGCTCTTGTCGTCGGGATGCATCTCGTACTCCTTGACGAAGATTGCTTCGATCTTGTCTTCGGATATCATCGCGCTCTACTTGGCGAAAATCAGTCGCTTCGACTCTTCGGAGCTCAGCACGGTCTTCTTTACGAAAATCGGCTCGTTCTTCTCTTCGCAGAGCTTCGCGTTCTTCTTGACGAGAATCGGCACGTTCCTCTCTTCGTAGATCCCCGCGTTCTTCTTGACGAAAATCGGCGCGTTCTTCTCTTCGGAGATCTTCATGCTCTTCTTGACGAAAATCGGCGCGTTCATCTCTTCGAAGACCATTGCGTTCTTCTTGGGCAAAATCGGCGCGTTCTAATCTTTCGAGATCCTCACGTTCTTCTTGACGAAAATCGACACGCTCCTCTCTTCGGAGATCTTCACGTTCTTCTTGGCGAAAATCGGCGCGTTCTTCTCTTCGGAGATCTTCGCGCTCTTTTCGACGAAAATCAACGTGTTCTCTTCGGAATTCATTGCGTACTTCTCGGGCAAAATCGGCGCGTTCTTCTCTTCTGAGATCTTCACGTTCTTCTTGACGAAAATCGGCGCGATCCTCTGTTCGAAGATCTTCACGTTCTTCTTGACGAAAATCGGCTCGTTCTTCTCTTCGGAGAACTTCACGTTCTTCTCGACGAAAATCGGCGCGTTCTTCTCTTCGGAGATCTGCACGTTCCTCCCGTTGAATTTCCATTCGGCGGTCTTCACGAGCATCCAACTGTACACGTTCCTCCCGCTCTAGTCGTCGTGACAGCTCGTTCTCCTCTTGCCGAGAAGAACGTTCAGTCTGCAGATTGTCTTCTCGATTCAACCGGCTGCTGCGATCCTCAAGCTTTCCAATGCGCTCACTTTGTTGTCTATAAACAAGATGCTCGTCGTATTCATCCATCTCGCTTCGGCGATCTTCCATCAACCGATGCAATGGTTGTATAGGACACTGCTGCTGGCGGGTGCTGCATGCCTGGTTGTTGGCCTGGGCAAAGTCCAAGCTGCCCAGTTGCAGAAGGAGTACAAGAAAGTTAAGCCTCAGCCATTGTGGGTTAGCGGCCATCCTGGCGTTGTAGTTACTCCCAAGCGAAGGCGTCTTTCAGCTACAATTATCGGCACCGGTCTGGGAATTGATGTGGTCTCTCTGGTAGCCGTTACTTCAGCAAGCTTCGAAGCTCGAATGACTTATCCAGTTGCCGTGCCGTCTATTTATACCAAAAGTTTAGCCCAGGACTCTGTACGGCAACGCCCACGCAGCGCTTGAGACGCAGTATTCCAAATGAACCTCAATTTCCCGTTGATTGATTCGATTTCGCTTATCGCACATGTGCACCACTGCGCTTTGGCCAAGGCGAACGACTTCAGCACCAACTCCGCTCAAGTGGTTCTAATGTGTGAGAGCTGTTTTCAATTTAAGCATTTTATGAATGAAATTCAGTTAGACCAACTGAGCCTGTGACGTCACTGATGACAGTGTAGGGTAGTCCATTGATTCCCATACCACTCGATTCCTGTGCAAATAGAAATAATTTATTGGAAAGTTGAGCGAACGTACATATATATGGTATACAAAATTCCAGACTTTCACTTATGTGTCCGTCATAAACACATCCGCTCAACTTTCCATTATATTATTTCTATTTCCCCAAGAAATATGTAACGTATAGAAGGAGTCGTCTGCGACAACAAATGTATATATATTCTTGACCACCATCAACAGTCGAGTAGGTGGGCCACGCCCTTTTGTTCGTCTGTCTGTTTCAATGCTTCTTAGGGGCTATATTTTATCTAGAGTTTATACCTTTATGTTAGACTTGAAAAATATAGATCTATAAATAATAACAATAACTATATTGGCCCTATGCACAATAATAAAATATAAATTTGTATTTAATTAAATATATATTTGTAATTGCGTACTTACCTCGAAATTTACAAGCACGATTCCTTTATCGTCGACTTTCAGTATGCGGAAGAGGAACTTTCATAAAAACACAACACTGAAAGAACAGAAAAGCAGAAAAATCCTTACTTGAATTAGTGAGAATCGTGTAGTAGAGCAATTTATAACAAATATGCATGCATACGATTGTAATAGTTGTTCTTTTTTTTGTAATATAATAAGACAGTTATATATATAATACGTACCTACTTTATCAGTGGCTACATTTAAAATTGATGCCGCCTTCTCTGCCAAGACCACCTCCATAGCTCAAGCCGCCGTTTCCTTCAATATTAAAGCCGCCTCCTTCTCCTTAGTTGAAGCCGTCTCCTCCTGTATAACAGCCGCCGCCTCCTCATATTAAAGTAAAGCCTTACTTGATTTTATGAGAATCGCGTAGAAGAGCATTAGTTAAGAATACGTTTTTCTTAACTCCATATTTGAAACCGTCTCCTCCTGCCACTGCCTCCTCGTTAGCTCAAGCCGCCGCGTCCTCTATAGTTGAAGCCGCCTTCTCCTATATGAAAGCCGCCTCCTCCTGAGTTGCACCTCCTGTATTACAGCCGCCGCCTCCTCTACCAAAAGTGAAGCATTACTTGAGTTTATGAGAATCGCGTAGAAGGGCGTTTTTTTTTTTAATTTCAACCGCAGCTAAAGATAAACTTAGTCTTCCATATAAACATATATGCATACATTCACATACATAATATATGCATATGTATATATGTACATGCATACACCCATGCACACATTCATACAAACATAGTTAAATTCTTATATACAAACACACATTCAAACAAACATAAATTAATGCATACATAATGCTTACATACTTAAATACATGCACACATGCATACACATATATGCATACAAGTATATGCATACGTACTTATGTCCATACATACGTACTTACGTCAATACAAACGCACATTCACATACACATACGTACATACATATATACATACATACATGCATATATACATACATACATACATACATACATACATACATACATACATACATACGTGCATACATACATACATACATAGATGCATACGTGCATACATACATACGTGCATACAGACCTACCTACATACACACATACACATACATACATACATACATTACTACATACATACACACATGCATACATACAAACAAACATACATACATACATACATATATACATACATACCATACATTAATAAATACATACATATATACATACACATTTACATACATTCATACATACATACATGCATACATACATATGCTGCTTTTCCCCAATCTATAGCAAATGCCTTGTTCGATGCATTAAGTCCAATTCTTCTCAAATTTTCAAGAGGGTAGTATCCGTAAACTTAAATATTCTGGAAGCTGCTTTTTGATCAATAAATCCAATCTGAAAAAAAAAAATGATATTTATCAAGACTGTGTAAGCGGGATGAGTTACCTGAGTAAGTCGTTAGTTACCTGTTGCATGGCTTTGCGCAAGTCCAATATACCCTTCTCTCGGCAGTTAAGTGAAAGGGTTCGGGGTACAGAAAGTAAAGTACTCTAGGCCAAGCTTTCCAGTCGAACACACTCAGGAACCTATATATTTTAATATATATTATGTATATATAGCTATATATGCCTCAATATTTGATATACTTACCACTGGAACGGAATAACGTCGAGGCGTGTGACGTCAGAGCTACTTATACTTATATATATGCCGGGCAGGCAGGCTCTGAGCCCGGGGCTGCGCCTAGGCCGTGTGCACAAGTGCGATAAGCGCGCTTGCAATCAAAATCGAATTAGGGCGCAATTGAACAATATGTTGGCTCAGTGTTGGACAAGCGCTAAATAAATGAATTGGTTTAGATGCGCATCGGGGCGTAAAATTGTCTCCACCAGCGACGCAAATGGGACCCAGCCGAATCGTTACTATAAAAGCAGACGCTTGTGTTCCACATGCCCGACAGTTGTCCTCCAACCTGGAGCCGAGCCGGAGGCGCCGCGTCCTCGATGCGGCGGCCGCGACTCTACACGGTGAGTCGAGGAGTCTACTTAAAGTTAATTCTAATACTTGGTCACACTTTTTCAGCGACTCGCAGCAGCAGCTATGTTTTTTTTCTTTTTTAAGAACACTTTCAAGGACTACCCTACTAGCAAGGAAGATGTGAATCGCCGCTATGGAAAATTGAAAAACCAAAATAGAATGCGTTAAGCTATGTGTTCCTTGAAGGAAATTAAGCGCAGCGACAGTTGTAAACATGTACGTGAACTACTAGCCCCCATATTAAACATATATGCATCATAATATACTTATCTACATACATATAACTATGCTAACTTAGCGATCTTATACCAAAGTTAAATGTTGCTGTTGTTTGGGATCGTATTGTCAACAGAATATATCTTATTGTCAAGATTCGACTAGCAATCGACACTAACAATATTACTCAATATCCATACCGTATTACTATATATATGATATATGTATTCGTTCAACTTATTTGGCTATTGTTACTATTCTACCTATGTATGTCATGCCTGTAAAGACAACATACAAGAAGCACATATGATAATATACTTACATAATACTATATAAACGTGTCCATGTTCGGCACAGGTATTCTATAAGCACAGAAACCACTCAAAACCTATACTCGTAAATCGCAAAATAAACTCTAATTACCCATGTGTTGAGCAAACGAAAATTTATAAAAATTGTTTTATTTGCATGGGATTTTCTATGTTTCAGCTGAAAATCTGCTCGAGACTTGTAATTCTCAACAGCTTTGAGCGCAAACAAGCCCAGAGTCGTAAAGGCTTTACATCTAGAAATGAACAAGAATAATGTACCAGATTTGGATGCCAAATTGATCTAGCGGTCAAACCATGAACAAAGAGCTAAAGCTCGTGAAAATCGGAAGAGATCTGACCAAGTTATGGGGATGGAAAATTTTGAGCTATGTCTATAAAGAATATTTGATTTATTTATGCATGAATTTTGACCAAATATTGTGTTGCCCGTGTCTGATGCCAACTTGATCTAGAAGCAAAACCATGAACAAAAAGCCAAGCCCATTGAAAATCGGTGGAGTTTTCACCGAGTTATGGGAGTGACAAATTTCGACCTATGTCCATAAAAAAATCGGGATATGCCGGTGGCACATTTGTAATAAATTTTCTGAAAGATCTTTGAAACTGAGCTTAAGGCCGATCGGATGGAAAACAAAAAAGTTTCATGCAACTGTTTTTAGCGATTTTTTCACACAAGCGAGCGGAATTTCCCGAAAACCGCGTCTTAAGAGAAATTCGGTGACAATTCCAGAGTCTCAGCTGCGTTGATCACCAATCAATCAGTCAATCAGTCATTTCAAGATTGATTGTAATACCCTATACAAAAGATAGTTACCAATGTGTCCAATCCGAACGATTCCAATTTGTATATATATACACTGCCTGCAATGGAAAGAGAGACTTGGCTGTTAATCAAGAATATATATATATATATACATACTTTAGGATTGATCAGAGGTCGTCCTCGATGTGTTGCACATTTGATGACAAGCCGAGTCGCAAGTTGATTTTTTGAAAGTTTTTATTTTTATTTGTTATTATATTTTGTTTACTCTTTACAATTATTGCAATTTCATTGTTTGTTACATTTTCAATGCCTTTTGCTGCGTTGCCTTTTTGAATTGTCCTCATTTAATTTGTTTTCATCAATAATTATTTAATATTCGTGTGAGTGTGTGTGAGTGTGTAAGTGTGTGTGTGTGTGTCTGTGAGCAAATTAACAAAGTTGCAAATTGTTTGCTAACTTTCATTTAAATAGTTAAATGTTCATTTAAAATATTATTTCTGTTCTTGTTATTGTTGCTGTTATTTGAATCGAAAGAGTTTAAAAACGTGGCACATTTGCATAAATTTGAATTATAATTTGTGATTTTTTTTGAGAATACGAATCTTTGTAGATTTGATTTAAATGTGCATTTAGCTAGTTTTGTTGTCCTCTGTTAATCGTGTTATTAATAATTCATTTGTATTTTGTACATTCCTGTTACTTAATTCAATTCAACAATGTTTTATTTTCTTTTTATTTATTTTTATGTTTTGTTTTGTTTCGTTTTTGTTTAACAATAAACTTAATAGTTTCATTAACTTTGTTACCAATTTTAAACGTCTTACAAATAAACAAGTTTTGATTAAAAACACATTTAAAATTTCACTTGGCCAAAGTGCGTTTTGATTGTTAAGAGACAGAGCGAGAGCGAGAGAGAGAGAGTGTGTGTGTTATATAGAGTAAGAAAGAGAGAGAGAGAGAGAGAGAGAGAGTGAGAGGGGGGAGGGGCTTGCGAATAAGTGTGTGTGTCAACAAATTTGTATAATTTTCTATTTGCTTTTTTGTTTATTATTATTATTATTATTGTTATAAATTTTCTTATGTTTTCTTTATGTTCGCTGTTTATGCTGAGCTTTAACAACAGTCGTCGATTTTGAGGGTTCCTTTTCATTTTTTTTTTTTGGATTTGTTTCTCATAGATTATATAAACAAATTTAACATTAGTTTCGCACTTCGATTTGATTTGATTAAATATCATTCATTTGTCATATTTCATATTCATTATTGATTGCAATTAACATTTCATATTTTGCATTAAATATCATTTTCATAGTGAGTTTATAATTTGTTGTTTATTTTTTCTATATTTTCTTTTGTTTTTTGCTGTTTGTTTTTTTTTAACTATAAATTTTGATGTAAAATTTGTGTCTTGTTCGTTCTATAAATTTGGTTGTTAATCTCTAAAAAATACACATATATATATATATGTATATATGCATGTGTGTGTATATAATATTTGTATTATGCACTAAAATAGTTAAAACTGAAAAATGCCTGCATTTTGCATACTGCATAAACAACATATGATTCTTCTATAATTATCCAAACAGCATTGTGATAAATGTTAGCTTTGGCTTCATTTGCTTTATACCCGACTTAAATGTAATTGTTGTATGCATATTATAATATTATTCATGATATACTAGAGCAACTATTAACAAGTCTGTGTCTAGCTCTCTATAAAGTTTGCGCACAAGCACAACATATATGATTTTTCATATGCAAATAGTTGGCTGTCTCATAAGATACGCTACAAAATGCTGCAAAACGGAAACAGATTTAGATAATTATTTAGTAAATATATATATATAAGTATATAAAAAAAAAAAAGATCAATTTGTATAATAATGATAAATAAATGTTCGCGTCAGTTGTCGGAAATGCAGTTCGAAATGTTAGAGAATGCTAATGCCCTGACCTAGAACCTATAAAAATTCTAAATTTGAAAATTGTCATTGGCTCACTTAGTTAGCCTCACTAGCAACGCTTTACATAATTATATTTTGTTTAATTTTTAGTGTGTGGTTTGTCTATTTTTGCTTTTTGCTTTCGTTTTGTTGGGGGGCTGATTATGCCTTAAACAACTGGGGAAATTCGTTAGCTATTTCGCGCACCAGCTGCTGATCGGATGCGCTGCATTCGGTCTCCTCGCAAAAGATGCGCGTAAAGATCTTCATCAGATCATGCTTGCGATGCTGATGCTCCTGATAGTTTGTGTTGCGCAAGATGCGACGGCACAGCTCCAAATAGCAAGGGCGTGTCTGCCAACAAAAAAGATACATGGAGAAAGAGAGAGAGAGAGAGATTAGTCGAATTCATGTCCTGCTAATCTTACAATTTAATTTTACAATTACAAACAGAATTGTTATAAACATCTAAAAGTATCTCGTCTTGTTTCCAGCACAAGAGCCCCATATTAAGAAACTCTTGACTATTCCCTTTCATATACACTGTCTCGCCTCTATTGCACAAAGGGACTTGTTTTAATTAAATTTAAGAGAACATTTCTCACATTTCCCATTCGAGCTTAGGCTAAATATTTTGTCTTTCCGGAACTCAGCGCCTTTAACTTTCCGCTCGGTCTGCCACCACGCTACAAATTCATTTTCTTGCCCGCTTTAAAGGAAGCTTCAATTAGAATTCGGCCTTCTAACAATTACCTTTTAGACTCAGAGCTGATCCACTCTCAATCAGTCAAACAGCTAAGCCGAACCCTTTCGAATATGAATAACAAACATAACTGAAAATAGCTGCAGAGTTTGAACCGTCAACCTGCCAGTTGCTTGTCACATAAACCTCACTAATACATATATCTACATTATCTTTGAAACTTGGCGATGGAATATTTCAAAAGCCCTTTTCTATCTTCCACCCAACAGGAAGCTGCAGTTAAAACGTGCCCATTTATATACATATACGTAGGTTTAACGTACCGCACTGCCTGCATCCAAATCGGACAGCTGACGCACCACAATATCAATTAGCACCTTAATGTCATTAGTATAAAACATGCCGGCCGTATCCGGATGGCTGAATATGTCAATAAACATGCGCAGCACCGTGTTCATATGCTGATTATGATGCTTCAGCAGACGCGTCGGATCATCTATAGGAAATTGAAGAGAATTTAGTAAACGATAGCATTAGCGAGCCGTGTATAAGGATTCGCTTACCCTCTCGATTGAGCAGCAGCAATAGCTTCTCGGTGAACACCTTGGCCGTGGGCAAATTTTGCATGGCCTCAATGATCACATTGACCGTATGCTCACCAAATTGTTGATTGAAGGCAAGTATGAGGGCAATTACCATATCGACCAGCAGCTCCGGATTGTTGCCCTCAACAATTTCCAGCAGAAAGCTGGCAAAATGCACGCCCAAATAGTCTGCAATTACATAAAGAATTTTAAAATATGAGCACAGAGAGCATAAACAATTCATCAAATTGGCTTTTCTTAACTTACATAAAAGACGAATTCTTTTAACTAATTTATAATCAAATAAAACACAGCCGAAAGCTGTTCAAATATTTGGCAACCAGCTTGGAAAATCTCCAAAACAAATTTACAGACAATCTCAATGGAATCAGGCAAATGGTGTCCTAGTCGGACATGCCCGACTAGAAGATTTATGTTCCATTTGTTCCACGCTCGCTTGGAAGTTCTTTGTTAACTTGGTTCCGTATAGAGTAGAGTATAGAGTATATAGAGAGACTTTCCCAAGTCTGGCCCTTGGCAGTTTCCGGAATCAACTCTCACGCAGACGGACGGACTCAGTTTTTGATCCGATCAAGAATAAGCACTCGAACTTTTAGGCATAATAACTTCAATTTTTATCCATTTTTAATGGATTTAGTTTATGAAAAGAAAATGTTTGTTATCGCGTCGCATATCGATTTATTTGTGTTTATTTTGTTGGTTTTTGTATTTCTTCTGGAAGGTCAGCCGGTACAGGAGCAGATGGCGGTGCGTATTGCGTGTCCTCAAGCCGCAGCGACGCTCCGTTACTTATTCTTTTTTAAGGCTCGAATTTAAGTTTCCTCCTCGTCGTCCTCTTCCTCGTCATCCTCGTCCTGCTCGCCCTCCGAGTGGGACTCGCTGGTGGGGGTGCCCGTGGTATCGGAGCTGGTGTCGGTGTCACTCTCGCCGTCCTCCATGGTCTGGACTGCCTGGGCGTGGACAGTCGAAACGTTGTCCATTTTGGGCAGCTTCTGCTTCTTCTTAAGCTCCTCCAGCTTCCTTTTGTCAGCTGTGGCTTCTTTCACATTCGGATTTGTGGTTGGGTCAACGGACGGGTCCACAGTTGTATCAACGGTTAGGTCCACGATGGGATTAACGGACGGATCCACAGATGGATTCACGGATGGGTTAACGGATGGATTCTCAGTTGGATTCATTTTAGGTAAGCACCTTATGTTTAATCATTTACGAGAAATAAAAAACAAGCACTCAATTTCTTCGTTACGAGAAAACTAAACACAAACTCACTTATTCAATTCTCTACGGGTAAAACAACAATTAGCTTTTCTTTGTTTTTTTGTTATTTGTTTTTCTTCTTTTCTTTGAGAAAAATTGGATTTTTCAGTTTTGCTCTCAACTCGACTGAGATCAAATCACAAATGAAATGTTTTATAGCCTGAGACGAGAGTCAAAACTGTCGGCAAAAATAAAAAAAAAGAAATGCCCGGCCAACTTGATGTTCATCAAACAGTGTTGTAAAACGCTTAAACAATGTCCAATAGTGTTAAAAATCCATTTCAGATATGTTGTGCCCATGAGCTCTAATATTATGATATATGCAATACACATTCAAAGTCTAAGTCCTACTAAAAAAGGGTTTTAGACTTGTCGAATTTTATTTTTGAATTTCACCTAAAAGTGTGGAAAATTCATGGAAAATAAATATATATTAAACTTTTTCAGCTCAGACCCAAAACATATTCAACGATCTTTGTGAAAACTCATTTAACAAACCAGACAAAATGTAAAATGCGATACAAACTAAAGTTTGGCCGGCTTCAGGCTCATTTTCAAAGCTCTACCTTGTTCAAGAATTAATAATCGATTCATATGCCCATCGGCATATAAAGCATATTAAAAATTCATTTGTCTGTAGCTAAAATTATTCAGTCTAATGCGATTTTGCTGTGGGAACTAGAAATCGGTTGGGACACATTGCCAAAGTTTGTCGTTTAGGCTCATGAAATGTAGCTTTATAATTACAAAATCAATATAAATCGATTAAAAGCGGCGCGCACACGAATATGCAATTATTGCTAAGTAGTTGTGAGTTGGTTAAATTGAGGTCACCTTTTTATAGAACTGTAAAGGTTAAAAGTTCACAAGACATCGTCGCCAAACAAAAAAGCACAATTTAGACATGTTTTGGTTTGTGATAAGGCACAGCGAGAATTACGAATATCTACCCAAATATCTATCTATATCCAGCTACAAATCTTATTTCTATTTAGCTTAAGACTAGAAATAACGCACCCTGATGATTGACCGGCATCGGCTGGCCCAACGAGAAGATGATGGTTAACATTTTCACCAGCTGCTTAAAGCGATCCAAATTGGCAAAGTGCGTCTTCATATCCTCCACCTGAAATGTTAAATGCCCATCAATTTGTTGCCAAATAAATGCCGAGTTAATGCACACTCACAATCTCCAATGGCAGCACCGAGGTTAGCAGTATGTCAACAATGATGTGATCCAAATGGCAGGCAGCTGTGAAAGTCTTAAGCAAGAGTTTTTTGATGGACCAACGCGTCTCCATCTGATAGTATTGCACCAGATTGATGAACATCTGATATTGATCGCACGACATCTCGTAGCAGCTGATGTTCTCATCAGCGTTATTCTGCAAGGACAAAAGATGGCAATCAAATGTGGCAAAAGTGCTTCAGCCGCGATATCGACCGATATGTATATATATATATATATATATATATATATATATATATATATATACTTAAATATATGTGCTGCCTGCAACAGAAAGGCGAACCAATGCAAGAAGAGAGACTAGTTTGAGTAGATACAGACAGACAAACGCGGAAAGCTGTATATAGAGTCGACTGCTAATACGAATCAAGAATATATATATATATATATATATATATGGGGTCTGCGAAGTCTTGTAGTTTATCCTCTAAAGTTTATCGTATTCAGTTCTTATAAGTCTTGTCTTCAAACAGCTTATGCCTAAATATTCGGACTGAAAATCGATATTTATCGATTTTGACGCAACGTCAAAAGTTTCGAGCATGAAATAAACTTTAAGAAGCAATGTTTAAATTAACCTACATATCACATATTGTCTCTTGCTAAAATCTCCACAAAATGCAGACGAAATGTCAATTATATATCGATGGAAATCGGAAATCGATATTCATCGTTTGTATGCAATTGATCTGTCAGCAAGACACTATTTGCCTAGCTCAAGGCCTTCAACAGCCCACATGGTCACAAGCAGAGGGAGATACATATCAATAAATATGATGTGCTCGAAGATGTCTTATGCTATCAAGGTGCAGACTTGTTCTCAATCATTCCTGATCCCTTTTCCCTTAAACCACAACAATTCGCTCACCAGTATCTCGACGAGCTCCTCGAGAAACTGTATGATGTCCTCCTCGTCCTCGTACAGCATCCAGGTGCGCTGTTCCGTATCGTTCTTGCAGTCGGCCAGCTGGGCAAACAGATATTGCAATCGCTTCGAGTCGTGCGTTATGCCCAGCAGCTCCTTGGGCGTGGCCACCTTGCCGGTGACATGCACGGCTACGGCCTCCAGATACGGATTGATGGCGCCATTGTATAGCTGCTCCAAGCTGGTAAGGACCACGCGCAACGCCTCGCAGGACAAATCAAAGCTGAGATTGGTATTGCGACGCAAGGCATCCACAATCTGATACACATCCGATGATTCCACCTTAAGCCCGCCACGCCCATTGCTAACGCCTGCCGCCAGACTGACGCCGTGCCGATGCGACAGCGATGCACTCTCAATGCTCTCGTCGAGCGCTTGGCTATTGTCCGCACAGCCATTGCAGCCGTCGTCGCTCGCCTCGGACTTGTCGGGCGCACTGTCTGCGCCCTGGCTAAGGCTCAGGCTGAGCGGCTCGCCGCCGCCGCTGCTGCCGTTGTGCGCCTGCCCTGCTGCGTCTGCTGCAGATGCTGCTGTTGTTGCGGCTGCCGTTAGGATGGCCGCAGCAGCAGCAGCTGTTGATGTGGCTCCGTTGCTGGCACTCAGCTGGCTGGTCTCCTTGTAGGTGGTGACCACATCCTCGCTGGTGGTTGTTGTTGTTGTTGTCGTCTCCGACGGCTCTGAGGTGATACTGTTGTCCTGCGCCACATCCGAAACGGACGCGGACACCTTTTGCGTTTGCGCCGCAACAGCTGCTGCTGCCGACGTGCTGGCCACCAATGGAGGCGCCGGCAGCGGCTGCTGCTGCTGCTGTGGCGTCTGTACGGTGCAGCTGCTGCTCGGCAACTGATGCATGCTGCCCATGCTGGGCGATTCCGGCATCGATTGCTGTGGCACACTAACGCCCACCGCCGGGCTGGACATGCTCTTCTTGCTCATGTCCAGGCGTTGCATGGCAGGCGGACTATTCTGTTGGGATTTCTGTTGATGCGGATGCGTGTGCGCGTGCCGGTGCGAATGGCTATGGCTGCCGCTCAGCTGCTGCTGCTGCTTCTCGCTGTAGCTGTGCGAATAGGACAAGGATGAGTCACCATCACGCTCCGAGCTCTCCTGTTCAAGTTAAATGTAAAATATCTATATTGATTACATAATTTCAAATGTCAGCCAACCGACCGCATAGATCCGCTCCATGGTGTGCTTCTTCTCGCGCAGCCTGTCGAGCAGCTCCTCCTTGGACATGATGCCATTTATCTCTGGCTCAGTGCACTTCTCCAGCGACTCAATCGAGGAGTTGAGAAAGCTGATCAGAAAGTCATGCTCCACCTGTTCAGAGCAGAATAAACGAACTTGATTACACATCATTATGCCAGAAGGAGGCAGGCAGGCAGGTGACACATTACCTTTATCTTCATTACGTAATTGGATGGCACAAAGCCAATGTTGCCCTTCATGCTGACCACCTGCCACCAGTTACGCTGGCGTGCGGACGTCTGATAGAGTATAAAATATTCGCCCTCATCGAAACTGATTGTTTTCGGATAAACCGCCTGGAAATCGTACAATGCTTTCAGCATCTCGATGCCGTTGCCCGTATCGATGCCCCCGCTGCCGCCCACTGCGTCGGTTGCTGCCGCTGCCGCTGCTGCTGCTGTCTTTGTTGTTGCTGTTGCTGCTGTAGGCGATGTTGACGCTGCTGCGGCTGCAACGAAAAACACAAAAACGCGTCCTCTTTTAGTTAATATTATTCACAATAGATGCTAAAGGGGCACGCACACACACACACACACACACAAATAAACAAACAGACACACACACACACAGACAGACACGAACCGCAGAGCGCAGCGAGGCGTGTTTCGTTTTGGATGCGTTTGCAGGCGGCTGGGCTTTTGCCTGTGCTTGCGGCCCTTCCTGGCAGCCACGCGCTAAAAAGTTCACTGCCGAGGGCCCAAAATGCTGACGGACGCTTTGGCCATGCCGACACACACTCACACCCAAACACACACACACACACACACTGGAAGAGAGAGCGCGCATAAAACGAACGGCGCCCGCAGACGACAGTTATAAAAGGCACAAACATGTATAAAAAAAAAAAAAAAGGACAAGCGTAAATGCCGAAGAGATTACAAAAGGGCGCACAGGAAAAATGCAATTCTCATTTGCAGTATCCTTTTAAGCCTATTTAGCTGACATTATGTTCGCCCCACACTCATTCACACACACACACACACACATAAAAAGCAGCGACAAGAAACAAATGAAATAAAATAACAGGACATGCCACTGGCACGCTCTCTTGCGCTCTCAGCGGCTTGCGCTCACACGCTCGCTTGCTATTTCTTACTCGCTTGCTCTCTCGCTCTCTCTCACTTACTGGCGCTCTTGGCGTTTTGTATCTAACCCATTCAAATGTCAATTGCTACTGTGACAATTGTCACCACACACACACACACACATACACAGGCACAGGCACAGGCACAGGTAGCCACATTTAACTACACTCATGCAAATTTGTCAAATGTTAAACAACCCACTTACCCATATTTTTTCCACCACACCTTGGGCTTTTTTTTTCGCTGTATGTCGCTGCTGTCCTTTTTCGTATTGTTCTTTTTATGCCTGTTCCAGTTTTGACGTTTGCCGTTACCAAGGACGTTACGTTTATTCGACTTATTGTTACACTTTGCGCCACTTGGCAACACTGTCTGTTGCCTCTACTGCTGCTGCTGCTGCTGCTGCTATTGTTATTGTTGTTTCTGTTAATGGGCGTTGTTGAGGAGTCTTTCTTGTGGGCAACACGTTATGGCTATAGCTTTGGGCGTGTTCCGTTCTTTTTCACAAGTATGTATGTGTGTGTGTGTGCACATGCGTGTGTGTGTTTGTTATTTACAATTGCAAGTTGGACTGCAGTGTGCAGTTGTTTTTTATCACTTGTTGTCACCCACTGCTAAGGGTGAGGTGAGGGCGGGGTCGCTTAGTTTTTAGCAGACATGTGTCATGTCCAGCCCAATACACTGAACGAGCCCCGATTTGTGGCAATTGATTGCAATTTCGAATTAATTTAGACCGTTTCAATTTCTAAGCATATTTTTGCTCGATTTCTTCGCCTGCCCTGTTTATTGCTTTCGCTATCATTTCGTGTTTCAAAGAGCGGCACACAAACACACACACACACACATGCGAGGCGTCAGTGCGAAAGCTGAGCAAAAGGATTCGCACTGCACGTACACATGTACGTACATGTATGTATACACATGTACTCCGCCGAAAGCACTTACATGCACACCCTCCCACACAGCGAGCGACGCGCTTACAGTGTAACGGTATTTTTTCGTGTTTGTTTTGCTCGGAATGCGGAATGTGAATCACAAAACAAATTACATAGTTGCAATGACGCATGCACAAATCGGATCCTTTGCTTACAGAAATACAAATTGCGATTGATGATTGATAAAAAGTAGGCCGTCGTAGTTCACAAACAAAAATATGAAAACAAATCGCTTGCGTTTGCTTGCAGCTGATTTTCTTATTCAACCAAAAACATGTGGACATGCACACAAATACACAACACTTAGGCAATGCTTAATACTTGTGCTAGTGCGCGAGCATTGTAGCTTAACATTTAAACGCACGTTGTCTGCCAAAAATAACAAAAAAATATGTATATGCCAATTGAATGTTAATTTTGGGGCTTGGTATGTAAACAAAACGACGAAAACGACACAACGCAGCAATAACGTAGGGCTAACACGGCCTGCTAACATTAACAGCGCCGTGTACAGCGCAACACAAACGCAAAACGGAGTAATGCAAACGCAAAATGAGTAACGATTACGTTGTTAACCAAATTAAAATCTGTACGCTGATTCGCAAGCAAAAATGGCGCTAAAATCAAATATGCCGCCAATTCTTTTCTCTTGTATATGTATATATTTTGCTGCAAAGAAGTTTACGTTATACTTTCGCTTTTATTTGCATTTAGTGATTGGTATACAAAGGTATGTATTTAATAATATGCACTTGAGGTTATCAAAATACTGTTTGTGCTCATGGGCAGGCAGGGCGAAAAAAAATCAACACAAAATCAAATACTTTATATAATTGTATTAAAAATATATCAACTAAAATGCTGTGCACAGCTTGCCATGTGCAAGACAATTTTCAAGTGTTGTAAATTGCATTTAAATTGGCTAAAAATAATGTTGATTTTTTTTTTAAATTATTTTTTTTATTAATTTTTTTTTTGAATGCCAAAACGTTTGTGTGTGTGTGTGTGTGTGTATAACTATATTGTATAAGTACAATGTGAATTGTTTCAAGAATTTGTTTTCCAAGTCAATTTAATATATATGTATAGGTATTAATTAGCAACTTTTTGATTTCTCTATTAACGCTAGTCTAGTAAAAAGTTCATTGTTTTTCCCTAACTTTGCTCCATGCCAACGATTTGCTCTAACTCTGTCTCTTGTCTCTAATCATAAGTCCTAAGTACATTTTGTGAATTTGAAATAAATATATATATATTTATATGTATATAGTTGCATATATATATATATATATATATATATATACTCTTTCCATTCAGAAGGCATTTTATCAAAATGTTTTTGTTTTCATTATGTTCGTATATAAATTTGATTTGCTTTTATAAGTACTAAATTGTAAGTGTTTTTTTTATTAAGAACAACGTTTTTTATTTATTTTTTTTCGGATTTTTTTTTTTTATATAAATATCTTTTTTTTTGCACAACAATTTCGCGTAGAATCAAGCTTCAACAATTGTTTTTTTTTTTTTTTCAATTTGTTTGTTTTATTTATAATTTTTATTTTTTTTGCCTGGCTTGCGGTCACAATAACTGCATTAATAATATGCTCATATTTATAATAGTAATAATAATAATAGCAATAATAATAATAATAATAATAGCAATAATAATAATAATAATAGTGTTCGTGATACAATTACACACAGACAATAATAAATTATAATAGCACAAGTTTCTCTCTCGTTTTTTGCTTTTTTTTTTTGTTGCTTGTTTTTATCATATAAATGTAAAAACTTAATAACATTGGGCCACAGTTTGTAAAATGAATGAATAAAAAAAAAAACCGAAACAATTTAAAAAAATTAATGTTAGAAAAGGAAATACAAAAAAAAAAAAAACTTGTTATTCACTTTGAAGAAAGAAAATAAAGAGGAAAAAACTTGTTTTGAAAAAAAAAAAAAAATAAAAATAAAATAAAATAAAAAAAAACCACTTGTTTTTTACTTTGAACTATTCCGTTTAGGTATTTTTTTCTTTTGTTTAACTTTTTTTTTTTTTAATTTTTGTTTTATATGTTTTTTGTTTTATTGCGTCATGTGGAACGGCACTTGGTTGAGATTTTGCTAACTGCGCCCAGAATTGTTGGGCGTGTGTTGTGGCATGTGTTGTGGCACGTGTGGCACGTGCGGCACGTGTGGCTGGGGCTTGCAACAACTTCAAGCACTTGCGGCCATATCATATTAATAATAATACAAACATACGTATGCATATATACATGCATACATCTCTCTCTCTCTCTCTATATAATTCTATAGTTGCAATAAAAAATTGATTTAAAAAACGTAAAAAAATATATTTTAAGCATTTAAGTAGCCAGATCGAGTTGTAAGATTTTGAGTCGGTTTCGTTTATTGTTTTTCTTTTTTTTTTTTTTTTTTTTTTTGCAACTGGCGGCAAACATGCCCCACCGAATAGAAAACCCACACAACATGCCACGGCTGCTGCTGCTCGATGGCCAGCCAGGGGGAGGGGGAGGGCCTCATGCCTTGCCCCATGTTGCCATGCCCACCGGCCACGTGCTGTTGCACAAATTAGAAAAACTGTTAGAATTATGCTACACAAAAACAAAATATTAATATTGATAGATTTTGCAACGCCCCATTTCGAACCGAACTAGGAGCGATGCCCATTGCCCGGCGTTGCACGCGCATTTGCTGCACTCCAAACACAGCTCTCTCACTCTCTCACTCTCTCTCTCGCTCTCTCGCTTACTCTTTTGCCTGTGTTGCAGCCAGGACTGGGCCTGGTCTGCGCTGATCCCCTCCAGCTGTAAGCCTTGCCACGGGCTCAGCCACACAATATATATATAAATATATATAGATATATGAATATAAATATATATATATATATACATGTATATATATATATATATATATAGATATATGTATATGTAATGTATGTTGAATTGCTTTCATTTTTGCTGCTGCTGCTTTTGCTTATGTTGTTGTTTTTGTCGTTTTTGTTTTGATTTGTTTTGCTTTGATTTGCTTTTGTTTTATAGTTGCTGTTGTTGTTGCTGTTGTTGCTGTTGTTGTTGTTGTTGTGTGTGTGTGTGTGTGTGCGCGAGTGTGTGTGCTTGAGCTATATCAGCGCAATCATTTGTCCTCACAGCAGCCAGTCTTGGCCAGCTGCTTCTGGAGTGCGGGCGGAATGAAATCTTTCGTCTTGGAATGATTGCCCTGGCCAAGCAGCGCCGGCTCCACATGCTTGCCCTCCTGTATGCGCTGTATGCACTTGAGCAGATCATAGTTAATTCGCTCGCTAACCACCGAATCTTTTCTGTAATACCAAACACAAAAATGCATATAGAGATATTTATTTATACATATATTTGTTGATTTAGAGCACTCACTTGTAGTCCGGATGGCTGAGCACCTGCTCGCGTATCCAGGTGGCCGTTGTAATTAGCTCGCCGGCGGCGCGCTTCTGTATGAAGCGCAGATACTGTTCAATGGTGCAGTGCGTGTCCGTGTCCACCTCCATGGACTGCAGATAGCTGCGTATTAGCGGCACCAGGCCAGGAAATACACCAGGCTGCAAGTGGGTTAAATGCAAAAGTATTATTAAATGTATCAGAATATAGCTCTTTTCTAGTTTCCTTTGCTTCTCTATTTAAATCCTCTAATTCTGTTGTTAATTCTATGCTTCATATATTTATTTTAATTTTCTTCTCTTTTTTTAACGTACACAGGGGTATTCCCCTAACAATTTGCTTGCAGCTGTTAAATTTATATCACTGTAAAGCCAAACTAACAGCGCGCTGTTATTTTTACCAGCTATAGCTGAGCTAACAGCACTTTAACATTAAATGTGTTAAGTAATATGCCAAGCAGTGCACTGCTTGACTTAAGCAGTTAACCCATTTTATCTTGTGCCCGGTAAGTTAACGCCTAATTTTAAAATGTATTTCAAACAAATGGTTTTTCTAAATGTTAGGCAAAAACCTGGTTACATAGCATTTCATGGACATTATGTCTGCACAAGCCCCTTCAATTCGTTTAGATGTTGCACACAATGTCCACTAACATGAGCTTTAACAGGTACATGAGCAATGTACATAGTTGCTGTTAGCTCTGATCAGTTGAGAGACTTACCTTGCCATTGAAGATCTCATTGATGGTCAGCAGCTGGAACAGCTCGTTCTCCTCATCATCCGTATCGGTGTGATCGCTGTCGGCACCGTTTTGAGTGTGTGTGCCATTGGCCTTGACATTCCCATTGCCATTGAGTCCAATGCCATGTCCGTTCAGCTTGGCGGTGCCATTGTAGAGGGTTGGCTCAGCATTGCTGGCCTCATCGCTGCTGCTGCCATTTGTGGCGCTCGAGGTGCCATTGATCTGGACACAGGCGGCGCGCTGTTCCGTCGACTTGGACGATTTGCGGAACCAGAATTTCTCCTTGCGGCACGCGTCACGCTTCTGGGCCGTCTGCATATTCTCGTCGACCTTGCTGATGGGCGTTAGGAAATTGAGCTGATACGATAAGATGACACGCGTGAGCAGCACCACAAAACAAACAATGGCCGCATTCTCGAAGTCCGAGATTTGCGCCTCGCACGGACGAAACTCGACACGCCAGCCAATCGAGCTATTCGGTGGCGGCGGCTTGAAGCGCATCGTTTGCCAATTTGTCGATTGAATGTTCTCAAAATGATCTGTGTCCTCTTTATCATTCTGATGGACCTTCTCGCTGAACAGGGACACAGTGTCCCTAATGAACAGATGGGCCACATGCTGGGCCAACAGATGATCGATGCCGCCCTCGATTAAACGCTTGTAAACCTCCTCATCGTACGTAAGCTTCACATCATTGTATTTGGCGCCCTCCGGTGACAGATACGAATCGATAGAATCGTAACGCGACTTGGCAATATGAAATTTACTATTTGTTAGCGGCTCAAGGCCGCGCTCCTCCAATGTGCGGCAATCCACCGAGGAGCTGATCACATTCCAGCGGCAATCCGATTCGGTTAGATAGCCTCGATAAACCGGCGAGGCGGCAGTCAATGCCAACATGATCGGGCAGAGCGGCGCCAGTTGATCATAAAGACGACGTGCCTCCGTTATGTTGCACGCCTGAAATGTCAACTGGAGGCAGCAACAGCCCATGCCAAAGCCCATGGCATCCAGCAGCACAACATCCGGCTCACCGGGCGGTGCACCCTCGACGGGCAGCTTTGTGTTCACATCCTTGAAGACTGCAAACGAGAAAGTGAGAGCATTAGCTACCATTATATATATATAAATGTAATTGTATATAGCTATTTACCCTTCAGCTTGATGGAGACCTTCTCGCCGCGTCGCATGCGTATGTTGCGCGTGAGCGTCTTGAAGCGTGGATGGCCCGGAAAGATGGCCTCGTCCGGAAAGTAGAGGGAACGCGCAGCGCTAAGCGGATCCTCGGGCCGGGGCTGATACAATGGATACGTAAAGTTTGGCGCACCAAGACGTGGAAAATTTGTAATGGACATCACACACTCATCGCTGGCCAGCAGCTCGGTGACCTCTTCGCGACGATAGCGCATATTCGCCTCGACCAGATTGAAGTGGGCCATAAGGCCGCCAAAAGGTTTGCCCGGCGTGCCCTCGATCATGTAGGCGCCATATTCGGGACGCCACAACGATTTCACGCCCTTCGGATCGGCCAGTTCCTTTTCATTGAGCTTCGCCAGCAGATCCTTGGCCTTGAGTGCGACACGTGCCACCTTTTGGTCATCATCGAACTTGACAATTATATATTCGACCTCATCGCCCCATTTGAGTATATCGCCCTGGCGATCCTTGAGTCTGTGATACAGATTTATGAACTGATTGATGCCATGCTCTCGTACATGATTTGCCAGTTTTTTGGTCTCCTCCCAGGAGAGTGGGTTGCCCTCGCTTAATAGGCCCATTGCTGCAAGTGAAGAGAGTGAGAGTCAGTTACGGTCGGAGACAAAAATTGAGAGAGAAAAAGAGAGAGAGAGAGAGAGAGAAAGTCTGAAGGGAGCAAGGCGAGAGACAGATAAAGAGATAGAGTTAAAGAGATTGGGAGACAGATAAAAAGACACACAGAGAGAGAGAGACAGAGAGAGTTAGAAAGTGAGAGTGAGAGAGAGTGAGTATCTGTTCTATTAGAGAGTTTGTCACATTTGAGATATCTTTGGAATTTTGAATTTCTAAATAAAATGTTAGCCTTCGGCTGACTTTCAATTGATCAGCTACTCTACAATCCCAACTGTATCTATATGTACATATATATATATATATATTCCTGGTCAAGAAACTCTTTGAGTGCCAAAATAATCTTTGAGCCAATTAAACACAATACACATTTCAAGATTCAAATCGTATGCAATAAAATAGAAACCATATCAAGAGCCCCACAAATCGCGACAAAATATCTAATCGGCCAGATAACTGCCAGATGATGATAGCCCGTGTCCATGTCCATGTCCGCAAAACCCGACACAGCAACAGCAGCAAAAATCCCAAATGCCAACAGTATCTATGCCAGCTAATTGCAGAGTGAATGTATCGCCATAGACTTAAGGTAGACTCAATGCAATGAAAATCGCATAGAAGGGCGAAGGTAAACAGAATGCAATGAAAATCGCATAGAGGGGCGATATTACAGGAAAAAAAAAACACAAAATAAATCAATTTAGGCAGCATTTGGTATAAAAGAAAACCTTTGCTCAACTTTAACGTGTGACTATATCATATCAAAGATTTATATATGTTATAAATTCGTACATATATTTAATTGTATAAGAGTAAGAGCATTCAGTTAAACAGCAAAGAAAAGAAAAAACAATACCTTTCTTCAAGTCAAGTGTTTTTCCCAAGCCTCATGCGATTTTTGATTTCCGACGGATCTTACGTTTATTGTTATATAAAAAATTATGTAGAAAAAAAAGAAGGAATATCGTCTAGCAGCGATTAGATGTATTTCTGCTGTATTTATAACTATATAAGCAAGGAGGCTACGAAATTTACAACATTTCGATTGAATTAATTGATGAGCACAACGAACAAAAGAAATGGCAAATCGATAATGCGCACCTTGCCCTGACCACACGCCTTCCCTCCCCCCGCCACACCCCTTCAAACGCGCCCTGACACACACAAAAACACACACACATACACATACACATACACAGTAGAAACCTTTGTAATAAAAAAAACAAAATTAATCAAATTATTGATAAGACAAATTATAACAGTGCATAGGTAGTTTTTATATGTATACATAAAAATATTATATATATATATATATTTGTATTTATATTTATGCATATACGCGAACCCCATTGAAAATGTTTAAGCGGGGCATATTGGTTTTGTTTAAACGTATGTAACAGGCAAGATTGGGGTACTTCGAACCCGAAGAATAGGTCTCAATATCAGAACAACGAGCTGAGTCTATATATATATATATATATGTATATATATATAGACACATATATATATATATATGTATATATATATATATATATAACTTTCCATCTGTATAAACGCATCTACTTTGGAAACAACTTAAGCTAATGAGTGAAATGAGTTCATCAACTTTCTTACGATGTCCTCGCTCTCTTTTATAATAACGATAAATATCGATTTTAAGACTCGAGGATTATTTACAGTCATAAGCGGAACGAGTTGATGCATATTTTGTTCGATATTTTAGGCTCAATTCCATAATATCGATAAATATCGATTTTAAGACTTGGTTCTTTTAGCAAAATTCGAAGCTTATTTAAGCTAGATACGTCGAACTTGGTCGACAGCTTCTCGTTGCCAAAATGGAAGTGAGTTTATCACCTTTATTTCGATATCCACGCTCATGTTCATACTATCGATAAATATCGATTTTGGGTATAAGTTTTCTTAAGATTATTGAACGAAGATACGCCAAGCTTGGTAGCTAGCTTCTCGTAGCCTTAAGCGGCATGAATATATCTAAGCTCATTTTTCTGACATAGATAAATATCGATAAATTTATCTTTACCTTTACTTGCGAGCTTTGCACTTTGGCATATGCCGACAGTTGATATTTAAACCATGAAAAATAAGAATAAAAAATAAGAATCGGACTGGAACTAGTTCTAGGGCATCTTTCAGTCGTGTACTCCCCACTGGAGCACTCTTACTTGTTTTGTTTATGGCCACAATTGTGCGCAATGTGTCTGTATTTTATTTTGGTACTCAACGAGTTGTTGTTGCTGCTGCTGCTGTGCGGCACTTGACTTTAGTTGATTGAATCATGCACTCAAATGGGTATTTGCCAAACACCCAAACACCCGCTCCACACCTGCCACCCCACCCCCTTCAACCCAGCACCGCTTCGCACTTGTCGCACAACGAGCCGCGGGGTGGTCCCGCTGACACACTTGTTGTGCGCAGATTTATGGCCAATTCAACTGGCAATATTAACAAGAAAGACAAAGCCGCCAAACGGGGCAGGCGCCGAAGTTTGTATACCCTAACAAGCAAAAGGTTCTGAAATGAAAATCGCATAGAAGGGCGATACTAAGGAAGAAATTCAATTCAAGCAGCAGCTGATCCGGAATTAAATCGTGTCTCAGATGAAAGAGGCTTAGATTGTCGATTAGTTCATTTTAACCCAATATATATAAAAAATATATGAAAAGCATATTGAAACATTTTATTTGTTGGATCTTTAACTTGCGATAACTATTAAAGCCTAGATAGAAACCAGTTTGTTTTTATATTAATTACCTTCAAACGAGCCCTAATCCCAATTATTGGAATAAAGAAAAGTCTTTTGAAAAAAAAAAGAATTGTCGTAATAATTTTTCGTTCGAGGTCAAGTCGAAATAATAACAAAAAAAATAAATTGTTTACTTCCATTGCCTATTTTTATTTCATTTTTTTTTTCTTTGGACTGGCCTTGAGACAGGCCGCATTAAAGTCTGAAGCCGAAAGCTTGTTTATAATCTTGAAAAAACTATTTTATTTAGTTGAATATTTGCAAGCATCAAGTCGTACTCTGTGAAACATAATAAAACCAACAGCTGTTGAGTGGGGTCAGTTATAGAAATTGGTATGGAATATATGCTGGACTATGTTCCAGTATGGTATAATATGGTATAGTAGAGTATAGCAATTCGAATTGGATCATTTTGACATAGATATGTGCCTAAAAGAAGCCAAGTCTCATCGGAGACAAGTTAAGTTAGACTGGCGCATAAAAGTGTGGAAGAAATATCTCTATAAGGACTTAGCATATCAGTTATCTCTGCTAAATGACTTTGACTAGGGTATTGAGACCAATTTGTGGCACCTTTTGATGAGTTTTAACAAGAAAGAAGATTAAAGATAGACACACAGACAGATACAAGGTCAAACAAAGGGTTCCTCTAAACGAACTCAGTTAAAGATTTTGAATGGAAAAGCGTATTTCGGCTCAGCACACATTTGATGGCCTATTTGTAATGCTCGTCGGTTAGGGTATCAGGAAACAGCAACAATAATGAGCAACAAAAAAAAAAAAGAAACATGACTGCGACTATAATTGCAATTGCAATTGAAATTGAAACCGAAACCCAAATACCGAATCGAAAAGAATTCAAAAGACTGAATTATTGTGCTCGCAAATGATTACAGTCGATTAGGAAATACAAAAATCGTTCGCTTGTGACAACAATTTCAGTTTCCAGCCGAACTAGTTGCAAAGACAACAAAACAAATTTGTTAACACCGACTGAAATACTCTATAGCAATAGGACTGAGCGAGTCTTTATATGGCAGTTTTAGGATTTGGAGTAGATGGATTTGGGTAAAAGAGTTGCTGCACTTGCTCGAGATATCTGAAATAGGAAAATGTTATCTATACAAAAAGTGAATACGCGATTCATCTTCCTTCTTCCATTAGAACTATATGATCTAATAGATTGATTCAGTCGATTTTACTTTCTGCTTCCTTTAGAACTATATGATTTAATAGCTCGGCTCTAAAAGGTTTTTCTTCTTCTTTGTTAAGAGCTTGGTTAAGCTTGATAGATCATTCCTATGGCAGCTATATAAAGTAATGACCCCCATATATGACAGTTATATGATATAGTTGCCCGATCTGAACATTTACGAGTTGTGTGAAAGACGAGCCTGACAGACTCTTTGGCATCGAAATACACAGAAGCAGACGGCCAGGTAGCTGTGATATTGATCAGGAATATATATTTATATATATATATATATACTGCAAGGGGTTACCAATTTGTAATACCCGCTAGCAGGGCCTGGTGAAGTTCTTAATTAATTATGCAAATGTTAGACGTCGCTCAAATACACAACAGATCATTCTCAACTTGGATATATACTATATATATACTATTTGGATATATACTATATGCATATATATATATATATATATATATATATATATATATATGTGAAGCTGGCAAAACTTAACAATTTGCCAGTCTTACGAGTTGTCAGTCACATCATGAAATATCTTGGCTTCGAACACTTTTAATCATCGAGATTTCGCATTTAATTTTGATTCATTATTCAAATGCATTTCGTAATGCACGCGATTGAATATCAGTTGATAATCATTTAGTTTTATGAATAAAACAATTATTGAATCTCATTTGAATGGCACATTGTATGGCAGAAATGTCGTAACTGAGTTGGGCATAGTTCATTGTTATCACATACAACCGACTCGAACCGGCAATCAACTAAATTACACGATATGCGTTTAATTATATTCAATGTTCACTCTCACAGAGACAAAAAAAAAAAAATAATAATAATAATAATAAAAATAATAACAAAAAGGTTGTAAGAAAAAAAAAAAAAAACTGTGAAAATGAATATACCTTCAGGTTCGTTGCAGTTAGTTAGCACGTTTTAATCAAAATACTAAGGATACACTCTCTTTTTAGTTGCGCC